ACAGCCTCAGAAACATCTCAGTACTATATATTTTTCTTTGTGTGTAATTGTTATGTGAGTACCTGATGGCTCGGTTGGACTCATCTAGGTCAGGGTCGTGCATGTCACAGAGATCGCTGGGTCCTGCCTCTAGCAGCAAGCCACTCTCTGAGGCCAGCGCTTCATCCATGTCATCCAAGAGGCTACCCCTTCTGTCAATATCATGGTCATCAAGGCAACCCTCCACCATGAGGGCATCCAATTCTGCACCTGGGCTCAGAAGTTCTACGCAACAATAGAATTCAGGACCTTCATTTTGTGTTTCTAAACCATTCAGAGGTGGACTTATGTGTTATGCTAATGTGTTTCAAACCCTTGTATTGATACATAATCCGAGTGTGCTTAGCTTCAGGACAGGAAATGATGGCCAGAAATTTTCCTTCAGAATTTTAGGTTGAGAGCAGAATTCAAGATTCCATCAATTACAGGAAGTCATTCAGATCCTCACTCTACTACCACCACCTTTGACTGTTGGTCTCTTTTTATGGCTTCCTGTTTTACTTTCATGCCAGAAGTAACGGGACACAAACTTTCCAAAAAGTTCAGCTGTCTTGTCAGCCCACAAGTGGTGTTGCGGAGGTCAAGAGTGTCAGACACTATCATGAGTTTGAAACTAGATCGAAGGAGTGACGTTGAATGTTATCATTGAAATTTTAGAATATATTCAACAACCTGTAGAGAGTATCCCAGAGATGAGACAGTAGTGATTAGACCTCAGTAGAAATCTATGTGAAGAGTAGAGAGCTGATGAGGTGTTGGGAAAGTATGACGTAAGGGATTGCAGAAGAGCAGGTAGTAGTGGTGAACACATGCTTTAAGAAAAAACAAAACAAAAGGTGACGTATAAGAGTGGAGGAAGGTGCACAGAGGTTGATTTTTGTAGAAGGCGTCATATGCTGAATTGGCAATACAGCTAACAAGGCTATAAAACAGGACCCAACACTGACAAGTCTAAAGTTCAACGGGTTTATTGAGTTAAAGTAAGTGAGAAGTTGAAAGGGGAGGTAAACACACGGATTCCTGACAAAACAGAGCAGGTAGGAGGACCTGTCACTGAGTCACTGAGAGAGTTAGCCTTGGATCCACAGAATAGCTCCAGAGAGTGTAGTTTAGAGTGAATTTGACTGCCTAATTGGTTGGTCTGGAAGAGATACTTGCAGGGGGACAGAGTCGTAGGAAGGTGAAGAGGCAGGTGAGTTGAAATTGAGAGTTTCTTGATCAAGGATTTCAGGAGGAGAAGACCAGTTTGACAGAGACAGTTAGGGGACACTGGAGGTGGAGCAGGGGACCACTGGGACACATGGCAATGAAGGTGTTACACTTGAAAGCTTGTGTCACCACAGGAGACACGGAGGAGCCACATTACCAGTTAAAGGAGGCATAAAATCTGGTGGAGAGTGAACCCTGGATCTGGTCATACCAAGATCTGCCCAACCCAGCATAAACCCAAAACAGCAAACAGACCGGTGAAGGACCATAACAAAGATTGGAGACTGCAAGGTAGTATCAGAAATCTAGCTAGGCAGCATTGGATGGTAGTCTGCAGGATGACTTTGGAACTCAAGAAGAGTAAGGGAATGAGGAAAGGACTAAGTTATGGAAGCTGAAGGAAGAATGTTACGCAGCATTTAGGAAGGAGTTAAGGCAGGCTCTGGGTTGTAGGGAAGAACTGCCAGATGACTGGGAAAAGTACAGCTGAAGTGGTTAGGGAAACTGCCAAGAAAGTATTTTGTCTAGAGCCCCTTCTTGCTCTGGCCCCTTTACACTGAATACATGTGTGAATGAGAGACAGGTAGGAGTAACAGTGAAACCGGGGCAAAGGGAGTTAAGTACATGACTGGTCCATTACCAGGGATCAATCATCCAAAGCATTGGTCAGTGCACAAAGGTGTTGGTGGAGATGAGTGTCAGGGTTGAATGGACAGAATGGACAAAATTAGGAATAAGAATTAATAAT